TGTTCCATGTGTTGCACCGTGTGTTCATGTTCCAAGATTGTTTTTTTTACTGCAACAAACCATGTTGTTTAGGAAAACTCCTCGGTTTCATGTTCCATGTGTGTTGGAAGGAGTTCTGTTCTTGGAACAACTTGGAACAACTTGAGGCCCACGATGAAGCAATCCGAAGCATGAGGGGTTACCGGTTGACCAACTTTCCCGTAGTGTATCCACTCCCGAGTGTAACCTGCGTGGGTCTTTGCTGCAGCTGCCGCACTGTTGCTCCCCACTACCAAACCAATGATGTACAGTTTTTTCGATTAGTCTTGGGCCGTCATTACCCTCCCCGAACCGCCATTGTTTCGGAGTGGAATTCCCTAATGTCCTATACCTATATAGCCAGTCACTAGTGAGTCTAAGACTTCACTATCTCTCCAACTGTTACCTGTCCGACTGCTCTCTTGGTGACCTGCCGCAGGCGCCGTCGCGAGCCAGGTTGGGGAGCGGTGTTCGTTTGCGGCAAACGCACGTCTCGGATCGTTTTAGACCAAATCGAAGGACAACTGTGTCTGTCAGCGGGCTGTGTTGTTGGTCCAGTTCTTGCTCGGACGAAAGGTCGCTGCGACGAACGGGTTTGCCGCGCCGTGTTTGTGATTCAAAGACGGTTGGCAGTCGAGGTTGGCAGTGTGCATGAGATCGGTTCGCAGAGGGCTTAGAGGTCGGAAACTCGAATCGCCCATGTGGCTTCGTTGCCACAGCCTTCATTGCTCGTTCCGTCGTTTGGAGAGTACACTGCCTTCATTTGGAGAATCCTTCCCTTCCCCTTGGAAAGAATTCGTGAATTCCATCCCCTTGGTGCTGGTTGGAACTGGTTGGATGGGAACCGTTTGTGAGCCGACTCGACTCCAAGCGGTGTTCGGAGGAGTTGTGGTCAGGGATCGTTCGAACAGCGCGTTGTGGTCACTCGAACAACGAGGTTGCCCAAGGGTCATCAAGGTTCTGATTCTGTTGACCATTTCTTCGCTAGGCTGCAAGATCATGAGTTTGTAGAAACACGGCGCAAGCACCAAGCAGTTTGGGGTCAAGCCTTGCTGGAGAGCCCAAACTGCCCACGGTCTTCGTGACAAACGTGACAGGCCACCTTCCATTCCACACATGCTGCGCGGACCAGCCGGCGTGTGCGGGGCCACAGATTCGTGTGTGTGTGTGTGCCGCGCGGGTCGACCACCGTGCGCGGGTCCACAGGATCTGAATGATCCACGCGACCCACGTTTGGTGGTAAAAAAAGAAGACGCAGACGTGCTTGGACAGCAGAGACGATGCATGAAGGACATCGCTATCAGGTTGGAGGCCAGCACTAGTGCATGTGTTTTCACCGTCAAAAAAGAGGCTTCCTCTTGTTTCCGGTCGCGGAGGACCCCGGTCGTTGGGTGTTGCGTCACGTCCGTTCGTACGTACGTTCACGTCCTCCACGATGAGTCGGAAGGGTGCATTCCATGCAGTCGGAAGGGTGTCGCACGTGCTTCCCTCCGGTGTTCAACAAGCACAACAGAAGAACTTGTTTTTCCAGAGAAAAACACTTGCTTCAGAAAAAGGAAAATCTCAGCTCACTTGACAGAACCTTTTGTTGCGAGCGTGCAATATCTTAAGTTTTATTCTGAAAAATCTGCGGGGGTTCCGAGCCGGCCTGGTCTGGTTTGCCACTTTTATGTCTACCTCAACCCTTGAAAGTGCAATAATTTCTTTACGTTTGGAATTTCTATCCTTTTGGGCCGTTTGACACTTTAATGCCAATCTAAACGATTCAAGCCAAAACTGTACACTCCAAAGCAAAACTGGATGCTTTCTTAAATGACTCCCACCAGCAAGCACATCTATGCTTGGTGCATGATCACCTATGTACGAATCTTTGAGCCATACATACGAGGAGTTGATCAAGAGTTGTACGATACAATTTCATGACCTCGGCTCTTTGAGTGTGTAGTACACTTCTAGCCAATTGCCACCCTGGGTACTTGTCAACCTACAGGATATGGTGAAACTTCAAGATTGCCGTATGTGGCAAGCATTCACACTAGTTTGCTCCATCCCACGAGCTCCAGGTCAAATTTTCTCATGATGGTAGGCCACAAAATTGCTAATTTTGAAACTGCACAGAAATCCCACTTTGTGCACTCTTGCGGGGCTTTGCGTACTTTTTGCGGATATTTGCGTATTCTTTGCGGATACTTGCGTACGCTTCTTTTGTGGTTGTGCAGGGAAAAGTGTGACCATGTATGAAATATATTGAATTCAGTATTGAATCCACACCAAAACACATGCATATGGCATGTGGGATTTCATTTGGCAGCTCATTGACAGATCATGATGGATCTATATAATTATGCCAAAGAAACACCAAGTTATATAGGTGTCAAAATCTGTGACAGGATGGACAGGTGTAAAAAGAATGGATAAACATGGATTTGCACATCTATCGTCGATTGTGTTTCTTAAGAGGTGATTCTACAATGGAGATCATGCGTATCTTAAAGCCAAGCATGGAGTGGTGAAGAATCTGCTCTTGATATATGATTTTGTCCTCCACTCAGTGATTTCTTCACGTTTGGACCAACTGGAACATTCAGCCCGCTTTTCAGGATTTGCGTCTTTTTGCGTTCACAAACCCAACAGTTCAAAAAATAGTGAACTCTTGAGGGTCCAGGTATGTCCTTTTTCTTGTCAGTGATCCGAGAATAAGGTGATGAGATGAGTGAGGTCTCTGCTGAACAATGAACATGTCTGCTCTGGATCAGACTCATCAAACACGTCCGTTCCGCTCCGCACGTTCGAACCGGGGCCGAAGCGAAAACCGAGCGAACCGAAAGCCGGTCCGGTGGTCGTCCCGCGAGGCAGAAACGGGTGCCATGACCCCCATAGTCTCGGCAGTTTTGCCGTGAGTCTCCCTCCAAAGTCTCGGTGAGATCGCAAAGAGCGGTATCATTCTGACCCGTTCGCATGATTGATCTAGGAAGTGTTCCAAAACTATGACATGTCTGGTATGAAGATGGATGAAGATAGGTGAAGACTTACATGGAAGATAGGCATTCCAAACTAATTGGAAAGTAGATGAAGAGAGGCATTCCAAACACCATGATTCCGTCAATCGACTCGAGGTCTGCCACGGGCGTCCGCACCGGTGGCCACCGCGTCCGCTCGAGCAGCTCCAGGCCGATGCGGCGTGAAACGGTGAACCGCGGGGAGAAAGATTCCACCGTTTTCAGACACGGATGTAGGTAAAGAAGCCTTGCGAACAGTGATTGTTTATGGTTGTTTATGGTTGCTTGACATATGTTTAAAGTATGATAGGTATAAAATAATTGTATAATTTTTGAATAATGATGTTGACGCCCATGTAATGGTATTGCCTTTCCGATACTTCTCCGCACACCTGGCTTGGATCCTCATCTCCATGCAGCTCTTCCAAAACGGTCGGCGGTGTCACTCTCCGCGGCGCCACTCTCATCGGGAGAATCGGGTCGATGCGCCAGGAGCGCCGTTCCAGCACTAGGCCGGGTGGGTGTGACGGATGAGACAGCACCGCACCGCACACCGCACGGTGAGGACCGGCGGGCGGAGCGAGGAAACGCACCTGGTGCAGCCGAGCCGGCGATCTGCAGCCGGTTGGCTTCGGGGGATCTGAGCAAGTGGGCTGGTCAAGGGTCTGTGAGTCAAGGGTCTGTTTCTGAGGGGGCGAACCACTGCTTCAGAACCCACAAGCACATCCACAACGTACGAAGCAAATCGATCAGCTTTCACATGATTTCACCACATGCGTCTTCAATTACGTATTACTCTTTCCTTACGTGCATCACCACATCTTTCACAGCCATATACTGCGAGCCTGTGCCTACGTGCACGATGCTCGCTTTGCGTCACTGTGATGATGAATTGCCGCAGGACCTCTTCGGTTTCAATTTCCATGGGGGTGATGATGAGAAATCGGAGTCGATGGGGCCGATGGAGGATGAGATACGCCTGAATGGCCGCGCAGGTCACTATGAATTTGCTTACATCCTCAAAGAATTTGAATATTCTGGCTCATATATGGTCGGGGGAGAGGCTTATGATGCAACGGGCGCTGTGGTTGGCAGGATGTCCGGTGTTCTACTGGACCAGAAAATCTTGGGCAAAAACTTCCCGCTAGCTTGCGATGCCGTCTTCCAGGAGGTTATGGAGTGTTCTGAAGCCCTTTTTGATGAAAAAGGCCGCCCACTTGCTTGCTGGAAGGCCAAGTTGGGAGAAGAGTTTGCACGCAAAGGTCGAGGTGGCTTCCTTTATCTGGATGAGGTGCACTTGCTCCCAGCGCATCGCGGCTGCGATCTAGGATTGGACTTTGTTGAGGGCCTTCTCAACGAACTCCGAGGGGCAGACATGTGCACGCTGGCTGTGCTGGAACCTTTTGGGGCCCCAGCCAGAGGTGTCGAACATGCACGAGCCATGTCTGAAGAAGATGCATCCTTAGCGACTGCAGCCAATGTCAAACTGGCCCGGCACTTTGCACGCATGGGCTTTCAACAAGTTGCTTCGGAGGGACCACTCACGAACTACTGGTTCCTTTGCTTGTGTACCCGGCCCATTCGGTTCATCTCAAAAGCGGCCGCCACTTCAGTGGCCGTGGGGCAGATGCCGGAGCCGATGGTCTTGCAGGGAAAAGATCAAGAGTTGTTCGATGCCTGTACCCTCAGTATGCTTCCCCCATCGCCCGAAACGATTCAGAGTTTGCTGCGATCAGGCGCAGATCCCAACAAGGCCTGTGCACTTCACGCTTGTGCGGCCAATGGCCACCTTGCTGCAGGCCGAGCACTGCTGGAGATGGGGTGCGGTGAATCAGCCAGATAGCTTTGGCAACGCTCCACTCCATGTGGCAACTGCCAAGTGTACCAGCTCATCCGGCTTGGATTTCGTGTCAATGCTGCTGGCCCACGGGGCGCAGACGGACCTCAAGAACTCGGAAGGGACATTGCCGATTCAATTGGCGAAAGTTCAATTGGCGAAGGAGTCCGTAGTGTGGGGACGAGGCACGGATTCCGTGAAGAGGTTGAAGAAGTGCATTCGCTTGCTGGATGCCTTCGTGCCACAGCCTGTATCGAAGCGGCCACGCCTTCATTGACAAGGATGGGCGATTGCTCATTCTGGTCTCGTAGACGGTATGAGGCACCTTGCCAGCCAAAAAATGCTCCGTGTGAGGCACTTCAAGGGGTGCAAGAGAAGCTACATCGTGCGAGAAGGTGTTGCAAAGATGCCGTGGTATTTAAAAAGACAAAAACATATATGATAGCCGATGCCATCGGCCAAAATGATCCCAAATCCTGTTGAACTTGTGTTAGAAATGGGTTTCTTTGCAAGTCCTTTAAGCTGATCTAAGCCGATGCGCGGCATTCCCGGCATTTTCGTTGGTTCAGTACTGCAGCGATCGCAGGGCACGGGGATTCACTGATGTGATCGATGCAAATCCGAGCGATTCAGAGGTCAAAAAAGGGCACCAGAAACACCTGGATTCCTCCACGGTCCCATGGATACCTCCTATGTCATGTTTTTGGACCTCAATTTCGCAGACCTCGATTGCCATCGTTCCAAACCAATATGTCATATGTCTCGTGTTAAAGCTTTTTTCCAGGTCGCCCTCCCGAACATCTCAACGTGGTACCAGACACGACACGACAGCGGTTTTGGGGGATGCTTTTTTGGTCCGACGGGTGCCAAACAGGTCGGGAGCGACATCACCTCAACAAGTCGCCGGCGCATGATGTGTCGGAAGTTCTACTCATTTGCGAAGCATGGATTTCCAGCCAGCCAAACCACGGACGAATCACTCTACCAGAATGTCACATTGGGGGGTTGGTTTTTCGTCAAATCCAGTGAGTGGATCTTCCCACCGACAAGGCACCTCCGTTCCTTCGGCACCCATCTTCGATGCGAGGCTTGGCAGCGCTGTCAGCCCGGGCACCGAGGTGATGTCCTTGATCGAAGACTTGATGAAGCATTCAGCTACCTTAGGGTGGCAAGGAAAAGACTTTGAGTCTTTGGCTCGTCTTCGAGCGCAGCTCCTAAAAACCCGTGATTTCTGGTTGGTGTAACCTTGAAGAAACACGGTATGTTTAATTCCTGCCTGGTATTGGACACGGTCCAACATGTTTGTGACACCCTCACCCAACATGTTTGCCAGGTGCGTGGTGCTCATCCGTTGTTTGCCCATCCCGTCGGAGAAAAAAGAAGGACCTGACCGGTCTCGCCTGATTCAGGTGCCAGCAGCGTGGGTTGCACTTCCGCGGCAAGAGGTCCACCTCATCCGAGGCAGCGGAGATTCATTCTCTTGGAAACTTAGAGTGATTTGTTGGAATGAAAAAACATGTTTCAGCCAGATGGTACATGGAGACAATTTGGACATGTTTTGCTCTTGTTTGCCTGGTTCGGGTTCCTTGCCATGCGCGACGCGCGTGCAGCGATGCGCAGCGATGCGTTCGACTTCGTCCATAGATCGAGGTCTCCCGAGCCAGGAAGGTGCATGTGTCAAGGACCAGGTCCAGGACCGGTGTGGAGAGGTTACAACCAAGCTTGGCCTTTGCTATGAAGGGGGTCTTTGGCTTGGCCAGGGAGCCATAGAAACTGGACAGCCTAGCTGCCTAGCTTGACAAGGCTAAAGATGAGCACCATTGGACCATTGGACCATCAACCCCGCTCTACCGTGGTCTTTTCTGCCTCCCAAGGCCATTCCTCACTACCACGGCCGGCCTTTCTCCCGGTGAGCTCGAGCGCAGGTGCGATGGCGAGTCCTGATCGGAGCTGTGTCAAAACACGAGCAACTCTATTTCAGATCATCCTCCACCCTAGTAGCAATGGCCTCCATCCCACTAGCGATGACCTCCATCCCACTAGCAATGACCTCCACCCTAGTAGCAATGGCCTCCAACCTACTAGCGATGGCCTCCAACCTACTAGTAGCTTGGCTTCCACCCCAATCAGGCTGGTGTCGTAACGAATAGTCCTGAGGTATCTACACAGGGGTGGTGAAAGTTCCCTCATTCCTTACGAGTCGCACGAGTCTGCGTTCGCGACCCTGTTCACTTCGTTCGTTCGTGTCACCTTCGACTCTTGAATGCCCGAGCAAGAACACCACTCCCCGTTGGCTTGATGCCTAAAACGTCTGTATGGATGGACGTCAGCGAATGGGAGAAAAAGAAACACATCTCTGAGAAGGAGCAAATGAGTGTAATCATTCTATGATACTATGGGTGAAAAGATAAAGGGAGATCTTCCAGTTGGACCCTCTGGAAGGCAACATCGACCAGTCTACCCATTGGGCCAGGGGGGTCTCCCCACGCCTGCCAGGCCATCGTCGGGACCAAGAAAGCTTCGGCTTCTGCGGCCGTTTGAGGTGGAATGACCAGCTTCTTCAGTTCGAGACCTTTTGGGAGTCCAGTGACCAATCAATGTGTCTTCTTTTTTGGCCCGCTCAGATCCTGCCTACTTAATTAAGTAGGCGAATAATTCATCAAGTAAGGGAGAGGTAGCTGCTCTCGGTACCGGACGCTCCAAGGTAGGACGCAGGATAGTTCACGCTTCTTCAAGGAAGCTCTCCCCGCCTGAGGGCGGGAGGGAGCTTCCTTGAAGAAGCGCGGTGTTAATGATTTGGTTTTTGTGACTAGTGTATTACCATCAGTCCAGTGTCCAGTGAACTTTTGGGATGAAAGGTCGAAGAACCAAGGTGATCCGTCCTAGACTGAGAGGAATCAAATACTGTCGACGAGCGAAAAGAACGCACGAAAACCAACCAGTGATCATGGATGATCATGGTATATTCTTGTTTTCGTCTCGCTGAAAACCAACCGTTTTTGGTGTTCAGACTCCGTCGTCCAGCGGAGGCTGCTCGCTTTGGCGCTCGGGGCTCGACATCTGCACGGCGCTCGGGTGGCCCAGCGCAGCTCCACCGGCTCCGTTCGACTCCGGGCGCCGGGCTCCGCGGGAGGGCGAAGCTTCGGAATCTGGAGAACACGTGAAAGTCTGTGTCACTTTTCACAGACCATCACAGACCTAGAACTTTCCTATAAGCCTTGGTTTTTTTGGAGATAAGCCACTGATTTCAGATCACTTCCCAAGAATTATCTCCAAGAGGAGTGGTGTTTTTCTTTGGCACGTCGCCTCGGTGTTCCATCCTTCCCCAGGCCACGGCCATGGCGGGGGAACGGCGGATCAAGCGGAAGCGCAAGGCACCTGGGTGCAGCGGGCGCGGTAGGCGCGCTAGTAGTCATGTGCTTTGCTAGTAGCGATGCACATGTTACATCTTGTTACTAGTTTCTAGCAAATGGAAGAAGTAGATGGAAATGCTAAGGTCTTCGCAATTGCAGTTCTGGGCGTGGCTGTCAGACATCGATAGTCACCTGACATCCGGATTGTGAGATCATTCAAAACTGAAACTAGACTATCTAGATTATCTAGACTCATCAAGAATTCCTTCACCTGAAGTTGCGCGGTTTTGCCCGGCTAAAGTCACCCTTGCCAAATTTGATAGTGCTCAGCTTGAATGTCACACAGGGGGCCGGCAACGTGTCGGGGATGTCCACTGACGCGGGACGTGCGAGCAGTCGGCGTCGGGGGCGTCGGAAGCGGCGCGGCCGCTCGACGATGGACGCCGCCAGGTGCCGGTGGCCAAGTCGCCCGCGAAGATTCGAGAGGAGAAGCGGGAGCCGGGAAGCCCAGCGGCGGCTGCGCCGCCCGGGCGAAGTGACAGAGAGCGTGAGGCCTGGGTCCTACACTCCAGAAAACTCAGACCCTGACTGTCTGGCCCCCTGGAAGAGTGTTTTCCTCTACCAGCCAGTGGTTTTCAGGGTCCACAAGAGGGTGTACATGTTGGTTGACGTTCATGTTTGGTGTTTCTTCCATTGGGGTCAATGTTTGCAACGACGTTCGGTTGTAGGTCCGCACCATGGGAGGCCGTTGGCCTCAATCTCCATCTTCATTTCACCGTTGACTCCCGCAGGCATGCGCTGGCTCAAGCCAGATATTTTCCCTTGTGTGCCTGCAACACAATCGGGTCGTAGCTCTTGAGGTTTTCTGAAATTTTCGGCATGGCGACCTTGCGACTTCTTCACACATTCATTGATGTTCAGGAAGGAGATACAGACGTACCATCTCGTAGATCCAGGACTGGACCGATTACCCTGGGATTCGATCAACCATTGTTTTAATCGCCTCAATCCCCAAGAACTATTGTTTTACTGTACGGATGTTTAGACTATACGGTGGGACCTATCGTCCTCTTGGCCCCCCCGCTCTCGTCCGATTCCAGTGCACTGCTCCGGAGAAACAGATGTTCTACTCTTCTTTCTTGACGCAGTAAACCCTGTCTCATTAAACCCAGTCGTCGTGTGGGACTGGGTTTCGTTGTTCGTTCACAGAAGACGGGACCGTCGCAGCTCGGGTCGTTGGACCGTCGGGGCTTCTGACCTCTCGGCCTCTCGGTTGCCAGGAGCCTCTCCCCGGCCTCTCGCCGGCCCAGCGGAGCGGACGGAGAATCAGAGCGCGCCGGCATTGAATTCGTGCTGTTGTCATTGTCGAGTGTTGTTTCTTGTCGAGTTATTTTTTGGGGGGTGAAGTTCTGTTATTGTACGTCTGTTGATCCCCAACGAAGATCGAACAGTGACCGATCCAAAGATCACACCGACCTCGACGGTGGACGGGCTTGACGTGGTGCGGACCGTGGTGCGGAGCGAGGTATGTGGCGACGTTGCTGGGGAGGTCACTGGCGGAGGAGTTTCGAGCTCCGGTGGAGGCGATGGACGCGGCAGATGAGGCAGGGAACACGGGACGCCGCGAGGCAGAAGAAATAGGATGTCAAAAGCCCTTGGCATTTGAAGGAGACGGATAGGGTGATGATTGAAAGGACATTAAAGAGCTGATCCGTGCCAAATGTCCCAGCCACACCATCAGTGGAGGCCATTAGTGGAGAGCCGGATGACTGGAGAACGACAACCTTGGGCAGCCTGGGCCATCCAATCCTTTGCCACCGCCCTTGCGTTCGCTTCGTCAAAGGGGAATGCACTCTTGGTGCCAATTGCTCCTACTGTCACCTGCATCATGAACGTGTGAGGATCGCGCTCGACAAGCGGGAGCGGCAGCTCTTGCCAACCATTGCAACTCGCCATGATTGTTTTGGGCACCTTTGAACCGTTTCACCAGCAAGCAGGGGTGATGGTGATGCTTGTTCTTCCCCTTGGTGGTTTTGGAATTTGGGATTCCAGATTGCCGGAAGCAACGCTTGCTGTGAAGAGTGAAGAACACTAACTTGACGTCGACACGTTTTTACATCTTGCTTGGTTTTTTTGCACTTCCCCGACCGAAAATTAGTTGCACGTGGTTTTTGAGTTTACCATACGTACACTTGCCGTGCTATGTATTAAAACCATCTCAAATCAACGCAGACAACTGCGTGTGGACATTTCAACCGCGTGTTTTTTACGGTTGAATTGAATCAGTTGGTGTATTTCAACAAAGGTCAACACTTCGACGAACCTGCTCACCTTCGAAACTTGCACTTCCAATCCATCTCAAAAAGCAGTAAAAAGCTCGTGGTCTGAGGATTTGCCTGAGCTTGTGGCTTTGTTGCTACCACACATCCGCGTCGCCCTCGCCGCAGCCGACCTCAACGCTGTTGCTGCTGTTGCCGCTGCGGAGCGCTTGCTGAAGAAGCTGAGCGCTGTGGCCGTGGAAGCGGAAGCGGTTTCGCCCGGCCGCAGGGGGACCCAGAGGTGCAGGGAGGTGCGAGGTGGGGCGGTGTGGTCACGTCTTGGACGAAGCGCGAGACCCTTCGTCGACCTTGGAGTGGTCCAACCACCGTTCAGTCGGGTGAATCCCTGCGGTGGTCTTAACCCGGGTCGCCCTGGGTCGGCTTGTTCCCACAAACCATGCTTCCTGTCTCATTCTGCTTGTTCCAACCAAGATGCTTTCGTTTGCTCGTGAAACACGATCGCGCCCCCACATTCGAGCGGCCCTGGATCGCGGGCGTTCCACGTGGATCGCAGGCGGCGAGTGATGCGGATCACCCTTAAGAAACAGGGAACGACCTGGTTTTGTCGTGTGAAGTCCTTAGTTGGTTCGGGATTCTGCCTATGAAATGAATGGTGGACCAGGAAGCCTAGGGTCAACTTTTGTGACAACAAAGCGGCATAGCCGGCATAGCGGCATAACTCATTGCAGTTCATTGCAATGCGTTGCTGCTAAGTTATGCTGGTCATCTTTTCACCCTTCGATCGGGATTTGTTTCGGGGGGTCCTATGCGCTATGTTTCTTTTGCTGGTGATGAGGATAGCAGGTTTGTCAAAAGAAGAACTCTGTTGTTGGGTTCGTCTTCTGGCACTGATATTTTTGGGAAGAAACACACGGCAGGTGCAGCTTCAAAGACGAATAGTTCATGGTGGCCAAGCATTGAGTTCCTTGTTCCTGCAAAAACGTGATGTAGGTTGACCTAGGTCGTCTCTCAAGTCTCTTCATGTGATGTAGCGGTTCCCACTACACCAGGGGCAGATCGCTCCCGTCGCCGAGGCAAGCTGGCACGGTCCCTGCGGGCGATGTCCTTGCGGCCCGACGAAGACGGTCGTCGTCGTCTCCGGCGTCGTGTCGAGAGGAACCAAATGGGTGAATCAAGGCAACAAATTCTTATTGTTACTAGTAGTAAGGCACTTGTTTCTAATAGCCTTTTGTTACTAGTAAGGCACTTGTTACTACTAGCGTGGCACTTGTTATCAAGCCACAAGGGCTCCCAAGGTTTTCACAGCGTTGATGGCAGTTGAAGGGTCACCTTTCTTCGGCATGTGAAGAAAGCGGATGTGCCCAGGTCCCTCGCCGCTTCTCGTGTCGAATTCGCCGAGGTCCATTTTGCTCAATTGCATTACCTCACGCGGCGGAGCCTTCGGTGCCGACATCGAGGAACACATCGAAGATCTTCGCGGGGAGATCTGAGCTGCGTTTCGCGCCGTTGAATCAACGGACTTCGACGTGGCTCCACACTTTTGTCGGAATGGCTCCAAGTGTGGCCCCACCACTTGGAAGGGGCAACAAAACAATGCCTTAAGTGGCAAGGAATTGATGTATCCTGAGGTAACTGGGCCCGGCTCTTTGCACACCAATACTTTCACCAATATGAGGTAGACGACTGTCGTATAGTCGTTGGCTCAAGAGTCAGGCGGACAGTAGTTGGGGACGGAATGGTTACCTGGTGGTTCTGAAGGTCTTGGAACTTGGAGCCCTTCCTTTTGGAATCCGCTGCCCCGGGCAAGTGCCAGTGCATGCCAGTGCTAAATCAGTTCTACGTGCTGGAGCACACAGGCTCAGACTCCCATGAGCAGCGAAACATCGTTAATGTCACTCACAAGTCCTACTGAAGCAGCCAGAACAGGACGGTGAGAGATGTAGATCAAGAGAATCCAGGGTGAGCCGGTTAGAAAGGCAATTGGTTGTTTTTCCAAAAATCTATCTCGCTTAAGTCTCATCTTGTGCTTTGCTTTTCGCAGCAAAAAGCCAGCCTTCCTTCCGAAACGCGATGCTGACGGGTCACACCTGGCCTCGCGCTTCGCCGCGGCGAAAGCTCAGCCCAAGGCTGAGCTTTCTCCATTTTTTCTCCACGTCCTTCTCAAAGCGATCTTTCGAATCTCACGGATTCCCTCGGCCATTCCCTATGGAGGAGGTGGCCGGGGAGGCGAGTTCGAAGAGAAAGCATGCGAGGTGGCCGCGCTGGTCTGCCAGCGCAGAGGTTTCACGGACTTCGACTAGTTGCGGTTTTCCCCAATTGGTTCACAGCAGACGTGGAAGAATTTTTGAGGGGATTGGCAGGCCTCCTGGTTCTACAGGATTGGCACTCTCTTGGATGTTTTTTTTGGGTCGACGCCATGATCTCTTCGGGGTGAACGGAACACAGCACAACACAGCCATCCGGTGGAAGGCGATCCGGAAGAACAGCCCACCCAGGCACAACCCGGCAAGGGACGTTGACCAGCCCGGTGCGTCCGATGTTTGGCTCATTTCGGTACCAACATGCTTTGGGATGGGATTTCTGGGTGACATTTCTGGGTGACTTCTGGGTGACTTCTGGGTCCAAGTCCATCCAAAAACATTTAAAAAAAGAAAAGCAACATGACGGACATGCTTGGGGAAGTCAAATTTGGAGAAACGGAATGCGAGCTCCTTTGTTTCAGACAGGAAGGACATCAATGACTCATCATGACCCTACTATTCTGAACCTAAACAGATTCTTTTCAGATACACATCCTGATTTCTGGTCATGGTCGACCTGTTGATGTTTTGGAACCGGCCGTGCTCCCCTTCACCTCCCAGGAAGGGCGTGTTGGCGCGAGACTTGGCCGCCACCTTGAACGTCACGGACGAGGAGTCCGACGAAGAGACGTCGAGCCGGGCACTGGAGGGACAGGTGGCCGCTGGAGTAGGAGTTTTGGGGAGTTCCAGCTTGTGTTTGGGCAGTTCCAACAGAGGTTAAGTGACCTGAACTAGGACCCTACCATACCAGACTGGGATAGTCGAACTAGGCTTCTTCAACCTCTGTTGGTTCCGGCAGTCTCGACCGGTTGGTGAAGTTCTTTCTTTGGCCAGCGACGCGAAGGGCAGCAAGGTCCAGCAGTATCGCTCGTCCGTGTTCGCCGCTCCGTGGCAAGCTCGGAGCGAACACGGTTGACACAAACGGAGGGCCCAGGCTGGGGATGGTGAGACGGTTCTCGGGCTGACTCAGATGCTCCCGGTCTTATGCTCAGTCTAAGTAGACCTCAATAGACCCACTGTTCGTCACAGATGTAAGTTCGATCAGATGGGTGGCCAGTAAGGCACTTGTTACTAATAGCTTCTTGTTACTACTAGTAAGGCACTTGTTTCGAATAGCTTCTATATCAGATTGAACGTTGTACCGGCGCTCACCTTCAACGATCGAACTGTGTTTGTACCCCGCCCAAGGCGGCGATCTATGACGACTAGTTCAGCGACGGAGGTTAGTTCAAGTTCCCAGAAAAAGACTATCCGCCTTTGGTCCTAAGACAGGGTCGTTCAAATGATTCATTTGGTATACTTTGGAAAATCCATTTTTACCTTCACTTTTGATTCAATTGTTTTTCAAATTGTGTTTGTCAAAGTTGTGCTTTTCAGAGGGGGGTAGGGCGATGACACAAACAATTTGGTACTTAATTGGAGTTGAAACAGTAAACACTGAGACATTCAATGCACTTAAGAATTCAAGCATTAAGACAAAAGAAATTGGAGTTGACAGTTGAATAAGATCCATGCACTTAAGACTAATGAGAACGCTTAAAGCATCATAAGAATGTTAGTAGGCACAAAAAAATCGTTAAAGAAAGAACAATTCCCTTTTTTCCCCCAAACACCTGCACGTGCTCTCGCACGCCGCATGACCGACGTCCTGACACCGCGCTTCTCTCCCGCGCGGGCACAACGGCGAAGCAGGAGATCAAGAAGCGCCGCGAGGAGCGCCGGATCCGAAAGCAGAAGGTGCGGTGCTCACGCGGCGCCGTGAGCGTCGCCGCGTCACGTGGGGTGCACCGGCCGGTGCAAACGGTGTGCACCGAGCTGTGGTCCCAGTGGGGGCACGAAGAACGGAAACTGCACATGGGAATGAATGGGAATGATCATCATCTATGACTTGGGGGAAAAAAGGGAGATTTCCTTGGTGTCGCTTCGTCAGTTGAACAAACTGATGTTGGATCTTCGACTTGCAATACCTCCTTCCATTCCGCATGGCGTTGGTCTGAGATGAACCCAGCCTTCACGGCCTCCTTCGACCACACGGCTTCGTCCTTCGACCTCGCCGATCCCGAGCCCCGGCCGAAGCCCGGTGCTGCCAGCTGCGGGAGATGAACGAGTTTGAGGCGGATCCCATCTACAACATCACCGAAGGCCCCGTGGGGAGCCTCAGGAGAGAGAGCAGAGAGTTTGCTAGACCGCCGCTTTTCAGACCGCGGTCCACGAAAGGCACGCGGTCCAGCGGCGGAGCGGAAGCAGTGTGAAAAGCGGTAGTTGGTCGTGCTTCTTTTGCGAAGGAAGGCCATACAGTATATAGTATACTAATGGCTAAATTTCTAAAGGAATTCCGAGGTATATCCTTAAACAACTATATTACAAGGAAAGGACTTTGGGAATGCGACCAATTTAGAATCCCAAATTCCATTAAGGTTGGGGATCCTTTGGGACATGAGTCCAATGAACTCTTTGAGCCGCTTAGAGTTGAGACATGTCCCATTCAAGCGTCCCCCTCCGCACGTTCCTTCCCGATGAGAGACCAGCATCCAGAAACACGGCTGCTGCGTGATGCATTTGGTTTAAAGACCTGGGGCTGTGTGTGGAGCCTGTGGAGGGTACGATGACGCGCCCCAAGACTTGATCAGAATCCGAAAAGGAAGAAAAAACATAACATCCCTCAGTAGGAGAACAACGAGAACAACCGAAAATCGCTGTTCCCCAACAGTGTGGTAACACTAGGGGCTCTTGCCGTAAGAGTTTAGGCCGGGTGTCTAATCGGAGGTGCTCGCATCCGCCGGCGGCTAAGTCACTGCTATTTACAGTACATGCATTCACCTCAACATGAAGCACATTCGACTGCGCGGGCTCGCAGAATCTGGTGGGCTGGCGCGCGAGGCCGAGTTTGTTCGAAGGCACACACACAAATGCACACAGAGACAAGAGGCATACCCCTTACCTTTTGACCTGCGGGACCAATCTCATACAAAGCACAGTCATTTCTGCCTTGTGAGCATTGGGTGGTCCAAGCCCCTTGTGAGTTGAGGTTTAGAAGGTCTTTCGGTCTTTCCTGTTCATGGGTGGTAACGCAGTTACCAGGGTCCTTCAGGTTGCAGAGTCCTTCAGGCTTTACCTTGGTGCACCCTTCCTCAAGCGGAGGACACAGTTGCAAAAGCTCCTTCGGAGGCGGATCGACCAGAACGCGGTCGAGCTTGTCAAACGAGTGCAAATGCAAAGTTTAAAGGCAATCTTTTCAGATCTGCTTCCAATTCACATGTTCCTGAACTTCATCCAAGACATCAAGAACAACAAAGCAACGAGTAGCAAGTGCAAAACAAACTCATGCAAGTTCCAACTTCTCATAGATGAAAAGTACACATGCAGATTGGACCGATTCGACATCAGCAGAACGGGTCGTTTACGGTCAAGGTGAATGAAGAGACACGAGACCAGGTCAGACTGACCCTGTGGATACCTGTTGCAAACCATGGTATACCTGCAAGTGATGTCCTTTCTATGGGTCTTTGGAAGGCTGGTTTGGGTCTGGCAAGTTCCGGGAAGGGTATGAGTTTTTCATTTGATCCCACGGGCCATCCAAAAAACCAGGAGACCCGTGGCCTCAGTGGGGGCGAACGTTTTCTGCTTTCTGGTTGGAGAAAGGTGGCGCAAAAGGTACAGGTACAGCCCGAGCGCTGAACCACTTCCCAAGCAGGGACAGCGAGAGCTCGAATCTGCACGCCCAACCCCATCCCACGATCACCACCAAAACTTGTTTGTCCTTTTGTAGACCGGTCGGCCGTGGGAGGTGCAAACCACACGAGGCCACGCTCGAGAGGTGCCATCAACAACGGAGCTGAGGCCTTCATGCTGTTGCCAGCTGAGAGGCAGAAGATCCACACGGACGCGAGACGACTCAGTTGAAGTACGTTTCGTCAATCACTGGATTCTGGATGCTGCTGGGTGGTTTTGAGATTTCCACTGGTTTCCACAATTGGCTTGTCGGTCTTGGACAATTACGGGCTTTCCTTTTGCGAAAAGACATATCCCACCTGGTCCCACCTGGTTCTCGGAACTTCGCAAGGCTTTGCGTCGTGGGTTTTTCTCTTTTCATCGGATGCGACGGCCAAGACGCTCCACGGCCTTTTTCGGTCCGCAGCCCTTCTTCGCGCCGTCGAGGTGGCCAGAGCTCGCAGCCTGGCGGAGGGAGTCGAAGGCTCAAGCATGTGCCGATGCACGTTCGAATGGCCCGCCCGACAGACACAAAATACATTGGCTAATAACTGTTGAGTTGAGTTCTTCTTAACCTTAACAGAACATTTGTTAAGGTCACGACAAACTACAAGAGGTCACAGCAAACTGTTAACCTTACAACAAAAGTTGTTTAACTGTTGTGACCTTAACCTTTGTCACTTGGCTCCGTTCCCCAGAAACCGTCCTTTTGGTGCAACTGCCGGAAAAGCTGTGGACTTCGAGGCTCTTCCTCGTCGCGAAGAGCACTTTTTTTGTGTTTCTTTTAGGGGTGTCCAATGTGTACGCCAGAGATGCTTACAGAGTGTACGCCAGAGACGGTGCCTAGGGCCTTCTAGAGGTGGTCCCAGTGATATGTAGACAGCTCAGTCCGTGCACATTTGTGGACTTGGTGATCACTTTTCGTTTCAAGGGCAAGTGGTCCAAAGTCGACTCTTCATGACAGGTGCAGGATCGGGCTGATCTCGTGGCAGGCGGCAGGCGCAGTGAATCGTGACTTTTGGACATGTGGCTTGCTTTCAGACATCGGAGCATTTTGGCATCTGGACGTCGTCTTTGGAAGTGCTCTTGCTGCGAACCGCCAAGGCTGTTGCGGTAGTGCCCACTGCGATCTGGAGCGCGCAATTGAGGCCCGGAACCCACGGGTTTGCGAAGGTTCGGCTCCAACCTCCAATCTTGACACGCTTTACGTTTAAGTTAATGGTGCTTCGCTTTGGGAGACTGGGAGAGTGCCTGGTGTGTCACTTCTAGAGAGGAATGCCTCAGTGGACAAGAGGTTGATGCTGCATACAAAGCGTTGAGGAAAACTGTTGTTCAAAATATGTTTTGCTGCCAAATATTCCATAAGCCGTGTTGAAAATGTTTTGCTTCCGGCTCAAGCTCGTTTGAAAGATTTTGAACGTGTTGTTCTGCTGCCAAGCGCTCTATAAGCAGTATTGATAACACTTTCAATGTTGTTGGAACGTTTTGTTCTACCACACCATCAAGGTCAGGCAGTTGCGGAAACTGGAAACGCCTGAGAGCAAACCCTACCTAGTCACACGTATAGTTTGTAGGATGGAGGAGCGCGCTTCTTGACGCCTTTTTCATTTTTCGAGTAGACTTTATATATAGATATATACATATCGGCAATTAACGACAAGAATTGTACCTGCTTCGCATTGCGTGGGCAGCAAGTAGCACACATTTTTTTGCTGCGCGTTGTTTAAAAACATTGTTGTTCTTGAAGTCAACTCCGCTTGCCACGTAGGTTGTCAGAAACAACATGGCAAAGAGGACGCTAGCCCTTCAGAGAGAGGAGCAGATGTCCAAGACCCTGCACCATTGGTCCGCCCTTCCTCAAGCGGAGGACACAGTTGCAAAAGCAGCACAGAGGAGGATTGACCAGAACGACCGGTTCTGCCGATGTCGAGTCGATCCAATCTGCATGCGTACTTTTCATACATGAGAAGTTGGAACTTGCATGAGTTGGCCTCACATCCACCAAGCTTTTCACCGCCACCGCCACCACCACCACCGCTTTACATCTCATTGCTCGTTCGACTTTTCCTCCCGAACAAGAAGCTCTACGTATCCCCGCACCTGACCCGCCTTGTTTCCATACAGTGAAGGCCGAGGTCTCTATAAAAAAGGCCGTCAGCTGATGTGGGAACACTTCAACGTACCATACCCTGTAATCTCCCCGTACTCGCCTGACCTTTGCTTTTGGCGTTTGGACTTTCCCCAGGAGCGACGCAGCCAATCGGTAGAGATGCCCAAGAAGCTGGCGGCATTGATTCTGATTGTCCACCGGCCTGCCATCCTTTCACTACCATGCACTTTTCAGAGTCATCCCAGATGGTGAGAGCCAGATAAGCACTTAGTTAACTGTCCATATGGAACACCCTCTCAAAGCAGATCCCACTGCGGATTCTAATTTTCCAGGCGCAGCAAGTTGCCAACGCTGAGCAAGCTGATGAGGTCACTTCGTCGGTCCGAGCGTGAAAAGACGCTGTCCAAGGTGAAGGACAGCTTCCAGGGAGACATGAAGGAAAAGACCGCTTAAAGGATACAGATACGGATGCCGGGGCGTTGGCAGGTCTGAACAAAGGAGTGTGAACAAATCAGTTTTTCCGAGCTTGGACCTCGGAGTTTTTGGGCCTGCGCTATCGCCAACAACTGTCGTCCATGGCGACCAGCGCTACAAATACTTCCTTGATGTTCCTCGATGTGCTGCCCGGAGAGCAGCTCGGAACAATCAAGAGCCTCTTGAACGCTCACGAAATCTCTTACACCGTTGGCAACGGCAGTGTGTCACTGAGAGGAAACCGTCAGGCGGTGCGCGCGTGCTTCCGTTTCGTGCGCATCTCTTTTGTTTTGCTTTTCTTCTTAACTCACCATCTGGTTCCAGTTTCTTCTTCTGTATCCAGTTAGTTGAGCTTTTTGGTCTGTGAAATTGGACTCCTGAAAGAACTAAATGTCAGTTTGCTTGTAGAACATGTTCTGTTGTAATTGGTCTATTCGAAAGCATGGGTGAAGGCAAAGAACGAGGGCCTGGGGAAGGAAGAACCGCAGCGCGGGAAGCTCGCGCCCAGCTGCTTGGCATCTTGTTGTCAAGGAATCTGTTCTGCGGTTGTGTGCTCTTGGAAGATCCTAGGCTCGTTTCTGGCCGTATGAGACGCCTGCAGTCATCTAGCCCGTTTTCACCCAACTGCACCGCAGAGGGGTCGCGGCTAAAACTGTTTGGGGTTGCGTGGGAGTGAGCAGCGGGGGTTCGGATCTTATCAAACGTGAGCAGGGTGAGCAGTGTTCCACTCAAAAAGACAAAGAATCAAAGAGCTTCCAAAGTGGAAAGGAACCGCTTGCAGCCGGATGCGATCAACAGCAAAAAAAATCCTCCCACCTGCCTTCATGGCAACGCGGACTGCCTGCGCAGACTACTAGGGTTTAGGGAGGCCATCGCTGCTGGGGTGGGGGCTATCGCTATACTAAGCAATAAAGGCTGGAGGCCATCGCTATTACGATGTAAGCCATCGCTACTAGGGCGGACGCCATCGCTACCAGCATAGGGTGAAGAGCCATCGCTAGTAGCTACTAGCTAAATACTAGGCCATCCTTACTAGAGTGGAGGCCATCGCTACTAGGGTGGAGGCCATCGCTACTATATAGCGTGGAGGCCATTGCTATTACAGGGTGGGGGCATCGCTACTTGGGTGGCGGCCATCGCTATACCATCGCTACATGAGCGGAAGCCATCATCGCTAGTAGGGTGGAGGCCATCGCTACTAGGGTGCTACTTAGGGTGGAGGCCATTGCTCGGCAAGTTCTAACCCAGCATCTTGGGAAACGAAGCGGGCCGGAATTGAGCCCAACACCTCTCGCACCCGAGGCGAGAATCACACCACTATAGACCAAACATGTAAAGGAAAAAGTAAAAGCGCATTAAAACCCAGAAAAGGTGAGTTGGACACATGTGGGCCAACTTAGGCAGGGGCACGGGACGTTTCTCAAGACACCGGATTTGAGTTTCTTGAGGCATGAGAAGGTCAAATCCGGCATCTTGAGAAATGCTCGCAGGGAATCGAGAAATGCATCTCAGGTTGTGTACTTAGCGCGGTGTTTTCCACATGTTTTAGTTCCCACTGTTCAGGGCTTGTGTTCAGGCTGCAGGGCCCGGCATAAAATTGGTAGTCCCAAGCCGGTTGTCGTTCTTGTTCACTTTCGTCCCTTTTGCACCTCGAGTTTTTGGGGCCTAAGCCGACAGGCCTGGTTGAAGGCAAAAGAATCCCAGAACGTGACAAATCTGTCCTTATGCGGAAGTAACTGCAAAAAGTGAGGTCGCGCCATGCCTGACCAATATATCCTGGGTTGTTAGGTCGATTCTTTCTGGCCCCCTTGCGATGTCAAAATAACTTTTGAGTCGATTTATTTAATACGACCTAAGTCGTATTTCCATGTTGAAATACAAAGTCGACCTAATGACCTACGAATTACTATAATTCAGCCAGGTTTTCAGGGTTCCACAATGGAATTCTTGGGTTCCCAAACGTTTGCGTGCGTCGGACGCCGACCGGCCGAGGATGCCATCGTCCGGGCCTCAGAAAGCGAGATCGGCACCATCCCGACGAAGTAAAACGATCGACGGCGCTCCATGGGCATATGCCGGTCTTATAGGTGCCTGACATCAACCACCCCAATGGAATTCGTTAAATATGGCATACCTACATGGAAAGCTTTGGATGATGTGTCGCACTTGGATTCTGTTTTTGTGTTTTGGGAGAAATGTTCCAATGAGAACCCAGGATGATTTTGAAACAATGTCAAAGGGTGTCAAAATTCTGTATGATTCCTGAGGCGTTTGAGAAGTCACTTGCCACGTTGTAGACAAATGAAGAATTGAGTGGGATTTTGATCAGTCATGTCACATGTGTATCATTTTCTCGGTCTGTTCCAGATGCCATGTTCCAGTGTTCCAGGTGCTGACACTGTGTGTGTGTGTGTTTGTCTTAAAGAAACATTTGCGTTGCAGGATGCCAAACAGCGCTCACCGCTCTGAGGATACCAACATTTTTGGTTTTCCCTTCCTCTGGGTTCGGAACCCGAATCCGCTGTGACGAAGCCGAAGGGAGGATCCTCGGCGTTTGGGGTGCGGGTGCTGGAGCTGAAGAAATCTCTGGTGTTCATGGTGAAAAAATACCATGTTCGTTCAGTGAGATGTTCGCAAAAAAGACGTCGCTGAGATTTGAAAGGGGGGTTCTAGTGAGTGTACTCAATGTACCTGCAGGACAGAAGCCAACTTGTGCCTGTCATGATCGACCTCAGACCTCATTCCACTCCGGCCCGGAGTGGACGCTCCAAGAATGGCGGAGAAGAGAGGACCTGTGGATGTTTGGATTTCTGGCGCTTTCAAAAATCCATCCACGTGGCGTCAGAGCCCGAAAATGTGGGCTCGTCCCCACCACTCCTCTGACCATCTCTGACCCCACCATCTCGCGAGCGAGGTGCAGCTGGGGCATCTCATTTTGGGCTCGGTCCTGGTGGCCGCCGCCCTGCTGGGTGGGCAAGGCCCAGCTTCGAAAAATCGAAGAGTTCGGGATGCCATGTGAAATCGACCGGCAGTTCGTGTGGCCAGACAGTACAGAAAGACTGCTACATAGGTTGGGGGTGTGCCAGACAGGTGTCTTGCGAAAAATGCATGGTGTGTTGCTCCTGGCACGCTTTGAACTGCTAGATCAACAAATGCTCCACTTGTAATATAGATTGACCTGCAGGGTCAACAAGGATTGCCATAATCTAATGCTTTGTTGTTCGCCCCTTGTGGCATCGTTAAAGAGAAAAATACATGCTGAAAGGAAGAACCTTCGGTTAACGAGTTAAAGAGAAGAGGGAGGGGGGGCCAGGGCAACATAATATTCAAAGGCATCACAAAGGATGACCAGATGAAATTGAGCTGCATTTATTTGGTTCAGCAACACCCATGTGTGTGGTGTTGCTGCTCATTCGTTGCTTTTCCTTGGCATGCTGCAAAGCATCTCAGCTTGATGGCCGAGCGCGCTCTATTAACCGTCTAGCAAGTCTTCAACATCAAACCCCTCAGACCTGTCTTCCTTTTTTTTGCTTCTAACAGCAGTGGCCTCCAACCTACTATAGCCATGGACTCTCATCTTCCCAACTGCTTTGCCTGGAGACGCCCAAGTAAGTCACGCTATGACCCTCCTCCGGTCCTGCGCTTGTTCACTTCCACGGCCCACCGGTCACGGGTTCCACCGTCCCGTTTCGAATCCTCCGCAGATATCGAGTTCGCCTTGTTCGACCTGCAGGTGCGCGGGAGACGGGACGGGACGGGAGAGACGGGAGACGTGAGCGGGACGGGACGTCAGCGGGAGTCGAGGACCTCCTTCTATAGCGACGGGGAGTCACTCGCGTTGGGCATCTCCAAGATGTGGAGGGTGGGTCCCGGTGGTCGCTGGTCCGAACCGAAGTCGGTGGGGTCGGGAGGTCTTTTTGGTGGACACACACATGTTGGATTTCAGGTATGTAATGACATGTCATTACACATGTATCCTGGGAGGTCTCCCTATGCATATATCATATATCATGACTGACATACCAGCATGATCCAATGAAATCCAACATTGGTCGGTTTTGAGCTCTTAACTGACCAGGACATGTCGTTCTGTTGGTATCAAGGGGTGTGGAGAACCCGCAAGGTTCCACTAGCAAAGAGGAACCCCAAAAGGCCCCCACCAATGGACCGGGCTACATCCTGCACGCTCCACTGCAAAGTAAACCTAACGTTCGTCACCTTAAACAGAACTAGGAACAAGAAGCTAGTAGTAACAGGTGCCTTATTACTAGTAACAAGAAGCTACTAGGAACAAGAAGCGACCGCCCGCCGTGTGAAGCACCACTGCCGGCCACTCCGCGCGAACGGTTCCACCGTGCACGCCCCCGCCAGGGCGAGACCTTGAGCACCCTCAGGGCCTCGGTGCCTCGGGCGAAGCGTTCGGTTCGACCACAGGGAGAGAGAAAGAAAGGGCCAGTTCGAAGGGTCCCCGCGCCGTCGTGCGTTTGGCACTGAATGTTCTCTATGTTCGGGGTTAAGGAGTAGGCAAAGACTTGCATTTCATACCCTTCATAACTTCAAACGCAAGTCGGAGCTCCAATTCCGACATGTTTTGGGGTATGGGCAGGTAAAAAGAAGCTGGCATCTCATATCACCTAGCAACCTAGAGTGTGGTGGTTGGTAACTGAAACGGTCATTATCATTATCTGGAAAATGTCGTTTCGATCTCCAAATCGGTTTGCAGGGCATGAAAGGTACGAGATGCCAGTCTTTGCCCGGTCATACCTCCAAAAAGGTGTCACGCGAGTGGCTGTTTCTTGGTCAGGCCCACCACGAAAAAATTGTTTGGGGTGACCTATTTCCGTGCTATTTATTTTTCATGTTATTCCATGTTATTTTTCCAAAAGAGGCAACACTGCAGAAGGAAGGAATGTTGTCACGTGTTCCCAAACCCTCCACGAAACAATCGGAGAAGTTGTTTCATGTCGAATCGAAGCCATGAAAAAAGGGCCACATCTTTTTTGCTTCGTCCCCTCGATGGATTCGGCTGGGACCACCTTTCCCTCACTGAGTTGTGGGTTTGCTTGGGCATCAGTTTCGTGAATGCCATTGTGACCTTCATCGAGGAGAGCAGAAGCGGTTTTGAGAAGCAGTTTATTATTTGGAGCCCAGCGGCCCCAGCTCCCCAGTTGATGAATGCTTGAGTTTGTTTGATGGAAACTAATTGGCACATCAACAAGTGTGTTTTCGATGAAGGAACAAAAAGCATGCATGGCAGAAGGAAACATGTTGGAAGGATTTGGAAGGTTTTACATTTTGATGAAGGATTTCGATGGATTTGGAAGGTATTACGTATAGATGAAGGATTTCAGGCGGACAGATTGTTTGGTAGAGGGTCGTTGGTTGCTCCTTGCTTCACGCCCACGCGTGAGGAGAAGAACTCCAGTGGCAAGGACATCGATGCCATTGGCTGGTTTTTGAAGGCGACCACATGCGACCAATCTGGGCCGACCGACGAAGAGCGTCCATCCGAATGACCTCGCCCTCTGCTGGGGCCTACTGATGACTTGGATTGGATTAGATTGGTCAATGTAGGCATACGCCAGATAGACCCCGACCTGTGCCAATTCCTCCGCCCAAACTGGGTTTCTTTGGACGGATGCAGACCTTCCGTATCCCTGCAGTTCACACCACCATTGTTTTACAAAGGATCTTTGCACGACACCACCAGGTCGACTTGACCTGAAGGCGCGCGCTCCTCTTCGCCGTCCACCGGGTCCGACGCGGTGCACCGGTCCAAGCGCCACGTCCTCGGCGACGTCCGGTCGCCCGGCACCAGGGCCTCCTGCTGGGTGGCGTGAGCTCCTGGCAGCGCATCGGACGCATCGAGAAGGCGAGGGCGGCCGGAGAAGAACACGAAGCTGCAGCGTATAGGGGCTTTTTTAAACGCCCCCCATGCTGACGCATGCCCATCCTATTTGGGGGTTATATCGTATTTTGGATACAAAAGGATCAAAATGAGACACATTGTTGTCACATGTTACCCTTTGCTGCATTCACGATAAATTGCAACCAGATTTGCTTCTAATCAGTTCAACAATGCCCTTAGGTCATGGTGTGCTGGTGTGTTTTGTTTGGACATACTGATCAGGCTGGGCTGTTTTCATGCCAGTTCTGCATTCCAAAAATAAACCACACAACCGCGCCGTGTGTTTGGACCTCGTCCCCTCGTCCCCGTCGTCGCGAAAGGCCAAGAAGAAGGTCCGAGATGCGGAGATCGATCAGGCGGACAGCGTGGCGTGCGACGCGAGACGCCCGACGATGGGTGTGTCACGTGTGATCACCGAGTCGTGGCCAAGTCCGACTGTCCAAACTGGTCTTGGGTTGTGTCAGCTCGACAGATGAATAGGAAGATTGCACAACCATTGGGAACGTCTTCACTTATACTGTATACCGATACCCTAATCTTCCAAGGGCTAAGTTTAACTTGGTCTTTGTCTAGCGCCGAGTTTTACTAAAGTCAAACATCGTCCTTGTCAAAGCAAGACTTCAAGTAACTCTTGG